CAGCTATCTTTTCCATTAAGTTTCTGTAGCAGAAAATCTTTTCTTTCTTCAGATATACAAGTTGAACAACTGAAAGAATTAACAGAATTAGCTGCTAATGATAAACATGTATTAGCCTTAGCTGAGTTGATGTCTATGGAACTAAGTATTCAATATTGTCTTCATAAAGAGTAAGTAATTTTATATTTTGTTCACTTCCTGTCACAAAAGATATCACAGCCCAGGCACTTAACTACAGGAGGCAAAGCGGAGACAATGTCCCCCTCCCCCTCTTGATTTATTTTTTCCCATAATTAATCCAAGAATGTGGATCAAGTGATTTAGGTCAAGGTAGGCTCATGTCAAAAGAATAACCTATCATATAACAAATTAAATGCAGATACAAAAATTAAAAAATGCTAACAACATGGCTGACTAGAGAAGACACACATAAAACCTCTCTGCAAAATCTTCAACTGGAGAAATAATTAATCAGTATTTTAATACCAAAATGTCCAGGGTATTAGATATAGTAAAGGTGAGCTAAGAGACCAAATATTACAGGAAAAAAAATTTTATTCTTCAAGCTATGATATTTTGAAACTTAAGTAATATTTGTGTTAATAGTGAAAGAAGGAAAGAACACTGTAAGAGTCTATATCTTGTTAAAATGAGTGATATTAATAAGCAAGAACCCAAACTCAATCCGTAGGAGATCCCTTGGAACTTAGTGAATTTACTGAAATAATTGATTGTTTAAAAGTACAAAAGAAGACTTAAAAGAAATGTTTAAGGATATGGTAGATGTGGTTTATAAACAGGTGAGAGACTCAATTCAAAATGATATGCAAGCAACTAAACTAATAACATGGCCATCGAAGCTTTCAATAGGACAAACATGTCACGAACAATTGGATTTGCTAAGTGTACAGATAAAAAAGGTAGATTCTGAAGTTCAAAGTTTAAATATCAAGTTGATGGAAAAAGTCAGCAAAGTAAATATAGCCATTCTACTGCAAATTACAACGAACAATATAGTAGAAAAAACAATATCAAAATTTTAGGTCTGGAATGTTCAGGTGAAAAAAATGTGACCATGTTTGTAATGCAGGTGTTCAAAGACACTATCAAATCATATAACAGAAAAAGACATTGTTGCTGCACATACTCTGCCTTCAAAATATGCTAACAAACCCAAACCTATTATTGTTAAATTCCGAAGTGAAGTTAAGCGGAATATCATGATGAAGCGTAAGGATCTTTTCAAATGCAATATATCAGTTTTCGATGATATAACAAAATCAACTCAGACTTAATTCAACGATTTAAGTCACTTAACGCTGTGGGAGCAGCATGGTACTTTAATGGCTCTGTGTACGCGAAAGCGGAACGAAAAGAACGCATCAAAATCGGTATTCTTGATGAAACAAACACGATACTAAGTCGGCTTCAAAATTCGCCTTTGGATAAACGTAGATCCAGTGTTAAAAAGTTCATTATAATCTTTCTAAACATTGTTTTTAATATAACTTATGTATGAGTAAATGTATGTAAATTTTACATTGCTGCACCATGATATGTCAAGTTGATATCTAAAACATCTTACAG